TAGGAATATCTGTTCAAAAGAATGTTTGCAATTGCCTCCCTCTGAGGCTTAGTGGGTATAACTTACTCAGGACTGCTCAATCATCTTACACAGCTAAGCAGAAGATTTGAACCCTTATCTTCTGAAATCTGATATTAGAAGCTAAGAAGGATCAGGCCTGGGTTGTACTCGGATGGGGGACTGCCAGGGAATAACAGGTGTTATAGCAGGCTATGTTTCAGAGGCAGGAATTAGCAAATTAACCACTAGTATTCCCTGCCTGAGAAAATGCTATAGAATTCACAGTGGTTAGTGTAACTTGACAGGCAATCTGAAGGTACACACAGGGATCCCCTATTTTGTCCAAATGCAATATTAAATATAATATGTGTATTATACTTCTACAAAAGATTGCTATATTGCCAGAGTTATAACACAAAATGTGTACATAACAGCTTGACTGTGAAGGAATGACATTTAATAAGAAAGGGCTAAAAAGACAATCACTCCTGCACCAGGAACTGATTACAGAACTGGGCATAGAGTGGACGAATAATAGAGGGAAGTAAGTCATACATATCCCTATGGGTCATCAGTGGAACAAATGCTTTTTTCCATAAATGATGTGAATCTTGGGTGTGAGTGTTGAAATGGTCAACTATGCAAACAACACCAAATTACTTACAGGGAAAAAATAGAATGGAATTGTGAAGAGTTTTAAAAGCAATGAACAACATGACATATGGGTGAACATTTGTAGATGCTAGAGAAATGATCAAGGGAAAGTTTAGGAGTACCGACAACTGTTGATGTGACATGTGCAGGTAGTCCCCTGCTAATTTGGAATTAAGCAGTGCAGAAGGCAAGCACACTCTGCAGGAAGAAATTGTGTTATTTCCCCAAAAGGATTTGTCTTTGGAGAAATACTTCCTGCAGGCTTTTTAAAGTTTTGTGGATGTTCTTTTTATAGATGGCTTAACAGGATGTTTCTCTCTGACCCACAGTACAACCTTTGGGGTCTGGAGAAAAACAATTTTTTGAAGCTGCAATTAAAGGCAGAAAAGTAGAGTCCTGCCTCCCTATGTTTATTTTCCTATTTTGACATTGTATAAGCAAGCTGTTTCAACTGTTGCCTTCACTGTATTATTAGAACCCACAATTCTCAAGCAGCTTTTATCTATCCAGACAGGCTTCTTTAAATAGCTTACCATGCAATCTTGAACTTCTTTATTCCCATTTTCCCCAACCCCCAACAGATGTTTGAAAATAACTACTGGCTGAGGTAATAACAAGTGGGTACAGAGAAAATGAGAAAGATTACTTTCTTGCATGAATCTAATCAGCCAGAAGCATGATAAAAGAAGGAATCTCTTTATCTCTGTGGTTCAGGAGATCCAGATTTGAAAGATGCTCTGCACAATAATCAAGTAACTGGTATATTTAAAGCCCTACAAATACGCAAGTTTTATTTATGCTATACATTAAGTTGGAGTAATATAAAAAGCCCCTTGATTTAGCTGTTTTATACCCTCAAAGTGACAAGGCATTTTGTCTTCCCCTTGCCACATCTGTAGAATGAAAACGTGAAATGTGATTAAAATGAATGAACCACAGTAAAATGCATTTAACAGTGTAAAAAAAGGCCACCCTATTCAACATTGGCCGTGCTTCCCCTTTGGTGGAATCTTTCTCTCTGCTCTATCACTACCTGCTGTCTCCTCCAACATATCAAATGGCAGGATTATCCCCCCCCCCCCCCGGCCTCACTTCCACTTAAAACCACTCAGAGCTTTGAGTTGGGCAGCTAAACACACTGTTGACAAGGTCCAGGCCTGGCTCATGTCTTCAATTTCTCAAAATGCCTTGTGGGAAATGGAGATGGTAGCATACCTTGAAACTCAGTGGATGCCTACAGCAACATATCCAACTTCACCTGTAAGTAAAATGTTATTTTAAGGAAAGACACTGCAGCAACTGGCCATCAGCCTTGACTATAATTGGGCGTGTTTCTTGCAATTGGGATTACTTAGTCCTAAATTTCTCTGAAGCCTGTTGACTCAAATCATATATTAAAATTAAAAATAAAATAGGTATTTCTCTCTTCCCCCCCCTCCCAGTTCACTCTTCAGTTAGTCAATTACTGATCAAACAGGCTATAATAGCCAATGCCACTAGAAGACAGCACCCAAAGTATAATCTTCTCAGACCTCTGGGGTCCATGTAAATATACCTTGTGAAAAGACCAATAAGAAAAAGTATGTCCTGAGATGCAGTGCTACTACTGTTTCTCAGAAAAACTGCAATACCAGAAAATTGAAATTTTAAGCATCTACACTGCATTTGAATATATAACTTTATTTCAAAACATGAGCACACTCTTGCTCCTGCAAGAAAACAAAAACAGTCTTCAGAAATACAAAAGCATGATTCAAAACATCACCCATGGGACCTTCCCCTGAAATGAAAATAGTAGCTTTAGAGAAATTTGTTCGTTGGAAACAGAGTTGAGAGAGTTTAAACTCCTTTTCACAACACGTATGGCCCCAAAAGTTACACAGGCTTAACAGATTTGCCATTTCATTAAGAAAAAAAATAATTTCCTACTCAGGTGACATACCTAGTTCAGCCACCACTGTGCTAGGCACTTTTTAACAGCCCAGCATAATAGGGTTTAAAAAAAGCTCACTACTTTTGGGTCATGGGAATGTTCCCAAAGATCCAGAGACGAAAAGCAGTCAGTGGAATTCAGAAATAATTGACTGTTATTCAATGTGAAACATTCACACCCATGGTTGTCCAGTAGCATTACAATTTCAAAGGCCTATGTGTTAGTTTCTGGATTCTCAGGAGGCCTTACCCTGCTCCGCCCCCACTGTAGGAATTTTCCACTGGTCAAAATAAGCTGAAATTTGAGTCAATGCTCTATATGGCCTTATGGACTTTCTCTGCTTTAACTCATTTTATCCACAGAACTCTTCTAGTATACAATTAAGACTGCTAGTCAAGGCTGAAGATCTAGCATGGCAAACTTTGCTATTACTCTTTTCTGTATTATCAGTAGATAATACAAGAAAGATATCTTACTTCGTACTGCTTTATTTTTCTCCACTTTCTTGGTGCATACATCTGTCAAATAGAGAACTTGTATGGTTTTCAAGAGATAATTCATCCCTTAGCAAATCCTTTTGTCATGTGGACAAATGCTAGTTAGATTCACAAAAGAATAAGCTTGCAATGATGCAAGAGAGGCTTCCCAAAGATGAAATAAAACCAAGCAGCTTTCCTCCTAATAACCTGGATTAAACTAAGCAATTATTCAACATGTGATAGCAGTCTTATTCTATATATGACAGAGGCCTTACAATTAGCCACTCAGAAAATGCAAATTTGTCAAATCTCTGTTCAAGTTGACCTAGTAACACAGTATTATATGAAAGCTGGCAAAAATGGCAATACAAGATTTGCAAAACTGATAACAAAAAGTGCAAAATGTCTGTCTGTACCCGATTACCTTCTTTCACTATAGTAAACCATCTCACATACCTGGTCTTTTTGCAAGCTTTCTGCAGTGACAAGAGTGTGAAATTCTCCTTGCATGAGATTTCTTTGGAATAAGTCAGTGTTATTTGATTAGAAGTACCATGACATAACTTTGGCTACTATAAGAACGTAGCTTGCTGTTGAATGAAGCCCACCTTTCTCACTTTGTGCCGCCCCTTGCTAAAAAAGGGGGAAACCCATGACTGTGCAAACCAATAAGATTATAGGTACTTCTTAAAAATACTTGTAATAACTTCTCCAAACCAAAATGCAAGTTAATGAGATTTGACATGGCATAGTAATTGGTATTCTACACAATTAGCTGAAGGATTTTAAGCACATTCAATCATTTAAGATTACTGCTGAATGAAATTATCATGGATAAAATGTTTAGGAATTTCAACCCTCAGACTGAAAAAGAGAAGAAACAGAAAAAACACTTTATGATGTTCACAGCTACACTATTTCACTAGGCTTTTCATGCTGAACAATCCTACTTCACTCTTTTTAACTTCTGTGGTAATTTAAAACTCTTTCCATAGTCAATGAAAACACCAGAAAAAACAGTGTGAATGAATATCAATAAGTAAGCTACTGCCATATGACTTATTCTTGACATATAAACTACAGATAACTGGATTACCATTAAAAGTCATATGCTTTGGGCTTAACTTAGCACCATCTTACGTACCTACAAAGGTACCTGCCTCCCCTTGCCTGTCTATGCTGCTAATGGTGAAGTGACATGATGGAAAAGTGCAGACCTAAATTTATGTTGCTTGAATAAGAATGCATACATCATGTCACATGACATTATTACTTTTATTGTGGCTGAGACAAGTTGCATCTTGTTATATGCCTGTTGAACTCAATGGCATGTTTTAAAAATTCAGATAATTCAAATGACATATCTTTTTAGTAACTGAGCAAATATACACATTTATTCATTACAAGGGCATCACTAAGAGGAAAACAAGGAAAATAAAGTAAATATACATTGAATATCACACCATGCAAACTCTCAGAATATTCAAATGGAGGGATCTATAGAAAACTGAATTCATGTAATAACCTGCATTCCAGAAATGAACTTTGAAAAAGTTTTAAAGATGCTAATGGGGTTACTTAGAAATCTAGAAAATAAACTGCTGCCATTCCTGCCTGTAGAAACTACCACAACTGATGTTCACCAGATCATATTTTTAAGATAAACATGCTGATACCTGCCAATGAGAACAAGAAGTTCAAGTCTCACCATTCTGTTAAGATGGAAGGACAGCCTTGTTTAAGATAAGATGTTTAACTACAGAACTGTTTCCATCTTCTACCAATCTTGAGTCCAAATGGCAAGCTACAAAGGATTATGTAGCATTTTCAGTGCAACGGTGTCACCAAAACCCAATACACACATATATATCTTTGGGTAGAAAATAGAACAAATGCTGCAAAACTGCTGTATTTCTGTCTGTGTTGCAGCTTACCTTTAAAGCTTCTATAACAAGATCCCTGGCTTCTAATTCCCCTTCAAGAATGCTGAAGAGTGTCAGTAGTTCAGGTTTGCTGAGTTTTTCGAGATTCATCTTGAATACCTGGAAACAAAATGAAACCTTAAACTTAAGTTTTCTGAAGAAATGTTGAGCATCCTTTCATAACACAACAAAACAAAACACAGATGACGTGCAAACTTCAAATTTCCACATTTTTCTAGATGAACTTATCAAAGCCACACAAAGGCTGCATCTACACTGTAGAATTAATGCAGTGTGATACCACTTTAACTGCCCTGGCTTAATGCTATGGAATCCTGGGGTTTGGAGTTAGGCAAATGACCAGAACTCTTTAGAAGAAAAGGCTACGGCCTTGTAAAATGACAAATTCCATGATTACATAGCATTGAGCCATAGCAATTAAAATTGTGTAAACTGCATTCATTTTACAATGCATATGCAGTCAAAGCCAGTACTTATTCTTATGTGTACTTTTATCTACTTGCAAATGAGCAACCATTTTCCCAGGTGTTCACAAAAATATTCATAGACAGATAATCAGTGAAAACAAAACAGGACAACTAGGGCAGAAATATAACAATCAGTAGAATTGAATTAACAAGGATAATGTGCATGCATTTATACATATTTTTAAATAGTACATCACATAGTGTACGAAACTATTTATCCAACTGTCACACCAGGCAAAATCACATAATCCTGAACTGTCATGCAGGAGGGCCGTGTTGCTGCATGCTGTCTGATTATTCCTATTTGCAATGGGAATGGATATGCAAACCACAGAGCTCTGTCTATCATACCATGCAACCTCAAAAAGCTACCCTTTAGTGGTTTGCTTCTTCCCTCCAAAATGAAGAATAAACAATGTATCCTTGCACTGGTTTGATACAAGAGGAACAAATCAAAGAAAGGTAACGGCTAGTATTTTCAAGACATGATGTACAGAGCAAAGCAGTGTGGTTCTTTTAGCCAGTCTAGCAGCAAGCGGCAGCAACTGAGAACAATATTGGACCCTGTAACTTAGTATTTTACAAAGGCTGCTTGAAATGCTATTGTGTATATGTAATAAAACTTCCCATGTGGCATTGCTTGATTGAAATACTTTTTTCTTAATTACCTTTCAAGGCATTCACTCATGCTTAGTATCTAGAATTCATTCCTCCTAACAAATTTGAAACCCATATATTATACAAAAAATTAAATCATGCACATTTTCAACTGAACTCATCTTAATCTGCTAATATCTCCAAGAAAAAAAGATTCCAGTGAGCATCTATCTTCAATTTGTAGTACCCATTGCACCATTTCAAAAATGTTCAGAAGTATTACTAAAGAAACAGCATTCACTAGGTCAGATTAATACCAAAAGTAGTCTGTTGGGTTCAAATATCTGACAGCTATTACTTTGCAAAGTAGTGCATAGTTCCATATAGATGCAAACCATGCGGACACATTCAGGTTTATTTAAAGTGTAATCGTTTTCTAGCCGCTGTTATAGTTGCAAAACATGTTTAAAGGAACCGTATATGTCATAATTTAGAGTTCTACTGAATCTCCTACATTAATAGGCTTATTTTCATGTTGGAGTTCAAGGTACAGTGTTAACTTAAAAAAATCCCCACACACATCAAAGGTGAAAGGTAGGGTGGGAACAGAAAATACATTGCTGCTCTCATTAGTTTTCCAAGTGAAACCACAGCCATGAGTCCTTACAAAACTATGAGAGTTTGAAATCCAGTGTAACTACTCATTACAACTGTCATCATATCAAGTACATTCAGTGCTGAAGATAAATAAGTTGACTGTCTAGAGGAAGTTTAAACAATTTGGAAAACTCACAGATCTCTTTCATAATTTCCAACAAGACTAGACAGAGCATGTTGCTCTTGAAGAAAACAGCAACCCTCCCTCTTTCTGCACCTTTAAAAGCTTTTCCTTATACACATACTGTTACTATATTTTCCTGGCAATTCCACTAGACTCTCCAAATTCATTGCTAGATAAATGGTAATAAGGTCAGACACAAGACCGTTTTTTTAAAGTACTACTACTGCTGCGGACTAAAACTATATTTTTGCCAGAGTTTTACAACTAGTATTGAATGAATCATGAAAAGTTTTAGGAAAGTAATATAACTTTTAAAAGAAACTATCACTATAGAAAAACTGTTGAGCTCAAATTAGTCCTTATGTTTTGTTCATAGCAATAAGATGTTCACCCAGATTGTAATTTGATTATATTATTTAAATTTATAATACCGTATATTCRGGTGTATAAGACTACTTTTTAACCCAAGAAAATCTTCTCAAAAGTCAGGGGTCGTCTTATASGCGGGGGTAGTCATATACATGGGAGTAGCCTTATACGCTGGAGTAGTCTTATACACGGGAGTAGTCTTATACYCTGGGAMTCYTCTTATAGAGCGGGTGCTGAAACTTCCAATCGGATTGGAGAATCTGTGGTTGCTGCATATTGTGGGGGGAGCTCAAAAATCGCAATGGCCGTGTCCCTGCCGTATGCAGCGACTGTATGAAAGCATTAAGGCCGACGCTACACAAGTATGGTAGAAGAAAATCCATTCATCAGGATCCGTGTACTTAATGCGGTCCCGATGGTGAGCTGAAGGGGCACCTCACGAGGAAGGCGTAAGTGAAGGGCGGAGCAAGCTGCAGGCATCCAGGGCATCCAGGGTATGGAAAAAAAAAGATAGAGTGGCTCAGGGCCCAGACAAACAAACACACCTCTTTTACCTGTCTGACCTCCTCCTCTGCCTTTCACATCTCGCTCCTGAAGACTGCAGTGAAGCGGTGGAGGTGCCCATGTGCGAGATCCGAGAGGCAGAGAAAGAGGTACAGTAATAGGAAAATTACCATATTGAAATCAAATCTGATGCTTTTTTTGGTGTGCGTTGGAAGAGTGGTAGCGTTATATGGCGAATATATCCCAAACTCTATATTTTAACTGGAAAAGTTGGGGGTCGTTTTATATGCCGGAATATACGGTAGGTCAGATAAATTATTTACACTTAAAATATGTCAGAATAATTCCAATCTAAAAAGAGCTAATTTCTACATTTTGTTACAGCCTCTACCTGATCTGCTAGGGTTTTCTATAGCATACTTTTAACTATAATTTAAATATTTGTGATTTGGGTTTAGAGCTTTAGATCACCCTATCGATAATACTGCAGCTATGGATTCAAACAACTACTTAAAATATTTGACCCTCCACCCTAGATCTTGACTTTGCCACATGCCAAGGACTATACTGATTTGTAGAAATACTGTTTTCGCCTCTGGCCACTTCAAAGATCCTCAGGTACTCTCCAACACTTGTTTGAGTTGTTTGTTTTATACATGTGTGTGTACAACACACACGTACAATGACATTATAGTGACTATAAGGGGGGGCTATCATAGGCTTTCCCTGGTAAGATTTATTCAGAGGGAAGTTTGCCATTGCCTTCCTTTGAGGTTAGTGTTACTTGCTCATCACACAGCAATATCCATGGCTGAATGGAGATTTGGACCTTGGTCTCCACAGTCATAGCCCAATGCTCAAAGCATAACACCACACTACCTCTGGAAAGGTGATTCAGAAAATTCATGTTGATCAGCCAAAGTGACGTATACATCTCACGTAACAGTCACTCAGGCTTAGGGGCAACATCTGAAGAGGATAGTAATTTACAGAGCATCTTGCCATGATAAGAGTATGCTTGACCTAGGTTTTCCATTTTTATAGCTTTGCAACAGTTGTTGTTAATAACAACATCATTTTAGAATGGTCCAAAGACCCATATTGCACCATAGGTGCACAAGGTATGCAGGTAATGAGATTAAGAACATCCGGTGGGTTAAGCACGCAAATTGATAAAATTTACAACAGTTAAAAACTGCTTAAAATACATGTTGGCTAAAAACATAGGTAAAGGACTACAAGAAGTGCCAGGAAGCCATTTTATAATGCCGTTGTATGTAATGAGATTTTGGTATCTACAGAGCTTCTGGAAACAACTACCAGCAGATGATGAAGGCTCATATTCTTTCCTTCTTTATAAGGAACTATGCAGCCACTTTTGGAAAAGCAGACTTGATAATATCAGTGCAGTCATCAACCAAACACTCCCAAATATTTATTTAATAGACACTTAGAAAGAGTTCACTCAGAATTCATCATTACAGTCTGTGTCTTATCTAAGGAATAACACATAAAATTGCTCAAAATATTTTCAGAAAGACTTAAATTGCTATGCTATTAGGCAAATCAATCACTGTTTCCCCTTAGGATGCCAAGTAATATATTTTGCATTATTAGTTGCTATATAAAAATGATCAAAATTTGAGACAATTATGTACACTGAAAGTCAAAAGTAATCCATATTAATTTTGTTGTGAAATTTATTTACACAAATACCTGATATATCTGTGATGGAATCACCTCACATATTTTTATGTTTTATTTTACAAACCAACACATATATGGGTTCCTGTTTCCCCCCATTTACAACTAATAGCAATTCCATAGAGGTGCAGATTGGGTTGGGTTGGTACTGGGCAAAAGACTAGAATGTCTTTCCTTAAATATTGCAACCCAGATCTTAGTTACAATCTCCTATTCTACCCTGAATAACTTGCAAGGGAATAAAACTATGTGATGATATTCACAAATAGATTTAGAATATAACCCAGATTGTTCATAAATTTCAACTTGTATTTGTCACTATAAAGACAATTGTACCAATGATTATGATTATTTATTTTTATGATTATGATGGTATTTATTTTTAATTTCTCAGCTTGGGACTCTGAGTAGCTTACAGTTAAAAAATGGTTAAACAATTCAAAAAGTGAACACTAAAAAAATTACTTGCAGTATTAAAACAATTCAAAAAGTGAACATTTTGGAAAGATTCTGTGGATTGACTCAATCAAGGAAGCAATTGCCCTGAATTTGCAAGACCTAAGCTGGGTTGTTAAAAAAGGAATTCTTGGAGCCCTTTTATTTAGGAGTGCCAACAAGCCAAGCATATAGCAACAACTGTTCTACAAGGCCAATCAGAAGAAAACTTTTCTGTAATA